AGGCCTGGGGCTGCTCACTAAAGTACCTGAGACAGTGTATAATAGTAAAAGTTGAATAAACCTTAGCTGCTGCCGTTAGTCCTTGAATTCTAAACATTCCTCCAACCTCACAAGCTTACAAAAAGTTCTCTGACAACTGCCTCTCTCCCTTGAGGAATAGCCCTCATCCTTCAAACCTCAGGTGAAAGGCCACTTCCTCCAAGGAAGCCTTCCCAAGGCCCTCAAAGACGTCCCTTGTGGCACACTCTTTAATGAAACTGTTTACTGTTCTCTCAAAGCACTTAGCAGTTATAAATACACATATTACATATTTCCTTCATTCTAAGAATCCCAGTGACTATAGCAGACACAGATTTTTTTCAAGACAAAAAGGAATTGTTAAGTGTCTGAAATTTGAGGAAGAATCCATTATGTGGTCTTCAGTGTCTATTTCCCCTTTCAAATCGAAACTCCATGGTAGAATCGTACACTCTGTACCCTCCAAATGTAGCAATGTCCATATATAATAGATGCTCAAAAAATGTGTGCTGAATGAATATTAAAAGTTCACTTTGCCAGATGTAGTTAACCATGTCTACACAGCGAGTTCAGCGAGCCAGCCAGCATGACACATAAGAAGATCGTGTCTCAAAAATAAATTAAATTTTTTAAAAAAGAAAAAAAAAGAAAGAAAATTATACTTCAAAAAAATTAATTAAATAAAACACAAGCTAGGTGGTACCAAATGCCTTTAATCCCAACAGCAGGGAGGCAGAGGTAGAGGCAAGTGGATCTGTTAGTTTGAGGCCAATGTGGCCTCAAAACAAAAACTAAAGTTCATGTTTGTCTTAAAAAGTAACTATACCCTTAAGTGAAAGTTGGAATTAATACTCATAATTCCTGCTGACTATGGTAATCCACATTTTTTCAAAGATTTATTTATTTTATGTATATGAGTATACTGTCACTGTCTTCAGACATACAGAAGAGGACATCAGATCCCATTACAGATGGTTGTGAGCCTCCATGTGGCTGTTGGAAATTGAACTCAGGACCTCTGGAAGAGCAGCCAGTGCTCTTAACCACTGAGCCATCTCTCTAGCCCTGGTAATCCACATTTTAAGAAAGCTTCTGTACTTGCCAAAAGTTTTTCTAATCTTCTATTTACCGTGACCTAAAAATAAATTAATTACTCAGCACAGCAATATACCATCAGCTCTGCCCAGTTCTTATGGATGCCACTCCATAAGCACTGCTAGAACGTGTCTTTTTACCTAAGACCAATCTACCTCTCCATACCTTTTCCTCAGGCTGTGCATCTATAATCAAGAGCCACAGACTTCTGGGTCTCCTAGATGCCTAAATGGCTATTACCTCCTTAGGCAATAAATGGCAATCCAATAAAGTATTGTCAACAAATGAACTTATGAACAAAAAGAATATACACAGGAAGGATTATTATTCAGTCACTGAAAAGAATTTAGATTGCTGCCGGGCGTTGGTGGTGCACGCCTTTAATCCCAGCACTTGGGAGGCAGAGGCAGGCGGATTTCTGAGTTCGAGGCCAGCCTGGTCTACAGAGTGAGTTCGAGGACAGCCAGGGCTACACAGAGAAACCCTGTCTCAAAAAAACCAAAAAAAAAAAAAAAAAGAATTTAGATTGCCTAAAAGAAAATACGGTTGTTAAAAGCCAGAGATCAGAAAGACTGCTCTAAAACCGTGTCTTCTGGACATGACAAGGTCCTTGACACTCAGGAACTCACAGCAGCTGTGGCTACCTATGCAAGACTTATACAAGACCAAGCCAGTCAACATTTCAGCATGGACAGGGGAGGCTCTCATGAGGCCCCACCCCCTAGCTAAAGAGCTAGTGGCAACTGACAGCTCCTGGGAAAGGGAGAGTCGGTTTACCCAGGGGTGTGACTCTTGGTAGACTGCCCATGTTCCAGCAGGTGCACCCACACCCACATGCATACAGGCAGCCCTAACTGGACTTTGTGAGGTATTTTTTTAAAAAAAAAAAAAGGATATGAAGTTGGGAAGGAGATTGGATGGAGAGAGTTGGGTGTAATGCAGTATAGAAATGAGCAAAATATATTAAATGCATATATGAGATTCTCAAAAATGATAATAAACATATTTATAGAAAAAAAGGCTATCTGCATTCCTTTCTAAAGGTTTCAATTTCTTCTCAGACTACTCCTTAGTATATATAATTGTTTTTTTAAAAAAGGGCAAATGCTCCAATAATTTGTTAAAAATTGATTTTGTGTGTGCATGTGCATGTGCATTTGTGTGTACGTGTGCGTGTGCGTGTGCGTGTGTGTGTTCCAGGGCACATGTGTAGGGTTCAGTGGACAATTCTGAAAGTTGTCTTAGTTAGGGTTTTACTGCTGTGAAGAGACACCATGATCAAGGCAACTCTTATAAACGACAACATTTAATTGGGGCTGGCTTACAAGTTCAGAGATTCAGTCCATTATCATCAAGACAGGAGCATGTCAGAGCCCAGGCAGGCCTGGAGCAGGAGAAGCTGAGAGTTCTACATCTGAAGGCCATTAAGGAGAAGACTGACTCCCATGTGGTTAAGAGGAGGGTCTCAAAGCCCACTCCTACAATGACACACTTCTTCCAACAAGGCCACACCTCCTAATAGTTCGGCTCCCTGGGCCAAGCATATTCAAACCACAAGAGTGGTTCTGCTTTTAGCCTTGTTGAAACAGCCTTGTTGCTCTCATTCTGCCCTACTATGTACTTCAGGCTAGGAGGCTCTCAAGTTTCCAGGCAATTCTCCGACCTCCTCCTTCCATCTCACCGCAAATATGAGAGGATTACAGATGTGTGCTACCACATCTGGCTCTATATAATCTCCAGGAACTGCACCTGTCAGGCTTGTGAGACAAGTGCACTGACCATTGAACCCTCCCCACGTCCACCTTCAATTGTGAAACAAACACTTTGGTAATTTTAATTTTTATCTAAAGATATGTGAGTTATGTAAATACTTAAAGTCACTATAAAGGACTATTTTTTTTCATTTTTTTTAAAGTATCTTTTTTAGCTAAAAATATCTGGCTTCTACTATAAAGTAATTGTATAACCAGTTTTTAGATAACTTTTTTGTATTTCAATAATGTCCTACTCAGTTTTTAGTTAATGTTGCTTCAAATACTATTATACAAAATGTGACTTCTTCACTAAAATGCTTGCTAAGCAAGCATGAAGGCCAGAGTTCAATCACACAGAACTCACATTAAAAAGCTGTGCATGCCAATAATCCCAGCACTGAGTAAGTGGAGAGACAAGAGGGTCCCCGGGGCTTGCTGGCCACCTATCTACACAAACTGCCAGCTCTAGCTCTAATGAGAGAGCCTGTCTCAAAAATATTAGGCAAAAGAGTGACAGGGTGCGGAGGGCAAAAGCCCTGATGGGCAAGCCTGTGATGTCAGTCTGAGTCCAGACCCCACAGGAAAAGGAAAGAAATGACTTTTGAATGCTGTCACCTGACCTCCACCAGCACACTGTGGCACACACATACATACATACATACATACATACACACACACACATATACATACACACACAATCAAATATAAAAAAGGGGCAAAAAGCAATTGAAGAAGACACTCCATATCGACCCCTGGCCTCCATGTTTGAACACACAGACACATTACAAAAAAATAATTCTTAAAAGGGTGTGGTGATACAACTTCATGTTTACCATGGGAGTGGGGACAGTATAAAGTCAGGAGAATCAGAAGTTCAAGGTCTACATAGGGACTCTGAGGCCAGGCTAGGCTACATGAGGAAGAAGCTTTTAAATGCCAACAACAAAAAAGTTCAAATTAAAATAGCAAGAGGATATTACTGCTATCTTGCCTGATTGAAAAAGTTTTTAATAGTTGTATATATGCTTGCTTGCTCGCTCGCTCTTGCTCTAAGATATGTATATGTATATTTGCTAAACGTTCACCCTTGTAGAGTAGATAATGTAGTGCTTTTAGTATAATCACAGAGTTACTCAGTCATCACTATTACCAAAATCCAGAAGGTTCCATTATCATCCCAATAAAGAAACCCATATACCTGAGCAGTTACTCCCTAATGCTCTCAGCTCTGGTATCACAATCCATCAACTTCTATGGATTTGCCTATGCTAATATTTCCTACAGATAAAATCACAATTAAAATATTATTTATCATTCAAAACCTAAGCGCAAATCTGGAGCTACACTAAGAATCTGAAACACAGGTAGAGCCTCAGGAAGGCACCCCGGCTGAGAGCACTCCTAAACACCAAATACACAGAAGATGCTGCAGAGATTCGAAAAGCATCAAATCTTCCCTCCTCCTGCCCTTCCTTTCCCCTAAGTTATCAACAAACTGAAACAAAAACTTCCTAGAAGCTGTTAGTATCTGAAGGATTAAATACAAAAGTTCCAGCCTAGCCCAGGATGCAGCGTGGTTGTTGCTGAGCCTGCCTAGCATGCACAAGGCCCTGGGATCCAGCTCCAGCATCACATGAGCCACATATGGTGACACACTCTTGAATCCCACCAATGGGAGGTGGAGACAGGAGGGAGCTCAAGGCCAGCCTGGGCTTCATGAGACCCTCTCTCAAAAACAACAACAACAGATAAATGGATGGATCGACAGATCTACAACAATGTTTCAAAAGGCAATCTTGGATTGAAAATCTGAACAAACACCCTTAAGGGTAGTTTCTGTCAACCTTCCCCCAGCTCTGAGCACTACAAAGCTCAGTGTGCTGTGTCACGGTCTCAGACCTCCAAGATTCTAAGCATACACAAAGCACATAACTAGTAAAAAAATTTATTTCAGATGAATTCTCAGAAAATCAAATCAGAAGGGATATAAATCTTAGTACATTTTACTAAGACAGATGATCTGAAAGGCCAGGCTTTATGTCTTGTTCCCAGCAAATACCCCACAGCCAGCTAACAAGCGAATGTTTGCCTCCCCAGCATCTATGGACACCATTGGTACACCTCAGCACACACCTCTCTGGCGATGTTACTCAAAGCTTCATCTTCTGCAGAAAATCGATCTTTCACCGGTGTTCTTTTCCTTCCAGAACCAGGAGTCCCCATCTTGTTTTTTTAAATAATTTTTTAACTCTGAAAATGAGTTTACTCGTGTTCAGCACTGAAATAAACAAAAACAGTAAGTTAGGATGTTTTCATCGTGGAGTCTTAAGGCTTAAACATTCAACTTAACACTGCAATTCTATTTCTTCCCAAAGAAACCAGTGAATGAATTCCTTTTCCCACTACCAAATTATTTCAGTGCATTTTAGAGTATTTAAATTTATATCAATTACCAACTTACTACCGTCACTAAGCTATTCACAAAACCTATGAGAATGTTATCTTAGCTCAGAAAACTGCAATCAAAATGTAATTATATCTAACAATATAAAATTAATATGGCTTTTTCTAAAATCTATTTCCAGTCAAGAAAGATGTTTCATAAAAGTCATTCAGTCTGAAGTTTCAGACTGCATGAATGCATGACTACATGCAGAATGCATGGCAAGCTGCATACAGCCCCTTCTTCTGGATGCACTGCTGAGAAACAGCTCATGTAACCCAGCCCTAGTAAGCCTACATATTTTTCCTAATTTTAGTAAGAGAAACTGGAGACATCTCATTACAATATGACACACCAAGATCCCCCAAGTTAGTTTGCTCCATTAGAACAGGGCATGTTAAAAATACAAGTGACTTCCATGTACCTGAATTCACTTGACTCAAGACAATTGAGCAAAACCACCACACCAGAAGTGTTTTCCCAGCGACAGGCCAGGCAGACCTATCTTTCCTGACTTCTCGTTGCCTTGAGCTGACCTATATTTTCTTTTTAGAAGATTGAGTAATTGCCTAAATGTATTCCATGTACCACCACATGTATGGCTGGCACCAAGCAGGACCGAAGAGGGCATTCATTTCCCAGAACTAGTTCCAGACTGTTGTGAACCACCATGTGGGTGCTGGGTACTGAACTACCCTGGGTCCTCAGAAAGAGCCGAAGGAGCTCTTAACTGCTGAGACATCTCTCTAGTCCCAAACTGGCTTACATTTGTCAATAAAAGCAGATGCCAGGACAGGTGGCAGCCACCTCTAGTCCCAGCACTGGAGAGGCAGAGGCAAATAAGTTCCTCTGTGAGTTCCAGGCCAGTCAGACCACACAGTGAGGCCCTTTCTCAAAAAAATAAAACCAGAAAATTAAGATTGAGGATGACCTATCTTTTTACTATAGCAAATTTATCTAGATAATCACATTTGAATATAAGCAAATGAATTTTCCAGTCTGAAAGAAACAGCTGATAAATTATTTCCAAGTACAGAGTAGTTGCTCTAGAGGTCTCCAATCTTTCTCCACGAAGGCTCAACTGAGTCACAATTAACACAGGCATCAAATAAACTATTAAATATTCCAGAAATCTTTAAAGCATCTTTAATTACCTCTTTTACTTATATAACTTATACAACTGACAAAGGCTACTCCTCGTCTTTATTTACAGTTTAGACTGTGCTGTTTTGTGGTCCTAAGGCTGAGCCCAGAGCTGCATGCTAGATAAGGCAAGGACTATCTGAATGAGCTACATGCTCAGGCCCCTTTTCCTTCGGTCTCTGGAGATGGGTCCTCACCAGGCTGCCCATCTTCTTAGCACCTGAGGTTATGGGGATACATTACTGTGCTGGCAATAGTTTTAGGCTCTAGCTAAACAAAGAGAGCCTCAGGTTATCTTCTTCAGTACACACAGGTAAGAGCAATAGTCAAGATTTTTTGTTGACTCAAGGAATGATTTGTAAAAATTAAAATATTTTTAACTATAATCATTTTATTGTGAAGAACATTTGTATAATGAAAAGAGAAATCTGTAAGATATTTTATGATATTTGAAGCCTCCTTCCAAGGATGTAGAGGAATACCTGAGTTTGGGGATGGTTTGGGGCCTTGCAGTTTTCAGTCTCCTTAGCAGAAGGTACCCAGACTACACAAAAACAGAACTAAAGAAACTATTCAACGGCACACTTAAAATTTGTGCATTTATTTTCTAAATAAATTTTGCCTCAAAAGAAAAAAAGATCTCTATACAAATTTGAAACTCAGTTAATGATGTATACACTAAGATGTGTAGTGTTTGAATGTACCAGCATCTGCTACTAATGTCTGCAACAACAAAGACCAAGCGAGGGACCCAGACACTGGGGTTCACTGCACTCAGTTACAGCTATCAACTATTTCGACTTTTCTGTATAGTCTAAAACGTCTGTATTGTTTAAGACTTTTTAATAGTATATTTGGGGAAAATAATGGTTGAGAAATAGGAATGAGTGGATCAGCAAAAGGCATGGGAATTAAGAATTATACTTTTTTAAACAAAAGTGAAGGTAATCTCATACAAATAGTTACATATTAACTTTAAAAAACTATTGGCAAAGGAAAGAATGATCAATTCCCTGAATTAGAAGAGAGGTCAAGGGAGAAAGAGGAGCAAAAAGAATTGGTTCAAGACATCAATCCTACCAACATGCTGTTCTATAAATGAACAGTAGTGGCAATTTTTATAATAATCGGTTATCAACTGTAGAAAACCCAAAATGAGATTAACACAAGTAAGTCATATGCAAAATCCATAGAAATAAAAAGTACATCAAGAATCTGAAAAAAGGTACAAAACATTTCAAAATGTAGCTGGGCCTGGTAGCATGCAAGCCTTCAGGTTCAAGTGTTCTGGGCACAGAGTGAGAGCTTGTCTCCAAAAGAATAAAGAAAGTAAGTGTATGAGCCCAAGCCCAGGACACCGCAAATAAGAAACGGAGGGAACTGAATACAGTCTCACCCTCTAAGGAAGATACCTAATGGTTTCGCTAGGCTCACTCACACTGTATGAAGCATAATGCCTACACTCTACAGGGTTAGCCTGAGAACTGTAAAAATGACTTTTAAAGTCTTGTGGTCTGAACATACACTATTCTCTATACCCAACACACAGATAATCTGTCCACTTCCTCTCCTCATAAGATAGCATGCCAACAGTCGCATTTCCTTCCTTGCCAACATGCTGTTCTATAAATGAACAGTAATGGTAATTTTTATAGTAATCAGTTATCAACTGCAGAAAACCCAAACTTGATGTACTTTTACCAACAAACGCACTCTCTGAACCCTGACAGGAAACTACTTTCTAGTGTTGTTTAAATGATCTTCTTTCTCTATGCCTGCTGAAGTATCTCGGAGGATGAAACGATGGAAAAAATTATAATGTTAAAGACAGAGACTTAAAAATGAAATAAGTAAAAACAAGAAAAGGTCTAAGAAGACAACTCATGGGGTCAGAGTCTTTAGTGTGCAAGCATGAAGACCTGAGTTCAAATCTCTAGCATCCCTGTTAAAGATAATTGGGCATGGCTTTGTGCCTGTAATCTCAGCACTACAGGAGGTGACAATAGCCAGCCTGGGGTTTGCTGGCTGTCACCCTAGCAGGTTCAGCAAGAGATCATGCTTCAGAGATGAATAAGGTGGAGAATGAGAGAAGGGCACCAGGCATCCTCCTCCTGCACCACACACGTGTGCATTACTACATACACACACACACTAACAATAACAATAATAACAATAATAATAATAATAAGTTACAAAGAAGTGAAATTGAACCATATAACCAGGTAGCAACATTGCTGAAAGCAAACACAAGAGAGAAATATATAATTTAATTTTTTATACAATTAATATGGAGGTTTGAAATTAAAGGATTTTTACAAAATGTCATATAGGTTTACTTGTTCTATATTTTAGAAATACTTGCTAGTTTTAAGGCATGCCTTTAATCCCAGCACTCGAGAAGCAGAAGCAGGCAAACTCTATGAGTTTGAGGACAGCCTGGTCTACATTACAAGTTCCATACCAGCCAGGATTACACAGTGAGACCCCCATCTCAAAACAAACAAACAAACAAATACAAGGAAAATCTCCCAAGAATTTACATGGCATTTTTTCTAATATTTGTCTATTCACCTTTCTTAAGACTATTTTTATTTGTGTATGTACATGTACATAAGTGCATGTGCGCCATACACATGAGTACATGTGCCTGTGGAGGCCAGAGACTCTTTGATCCCCTAATACTGGAGTTACAAGAGGTACGGAATCTCCTGATGTGAGAGCATTGAGCCAAACGTAGGTCCTCTGCAATAGCAGGACACACTCGTAACTGATGAGACGCCTCTGCAGCGCCTCCCTCCATCCATCCATCTTTAATGATGTTCTACAAAGGAAGGAAGAATGGGCTGGAGAGACGGCTCAGCCCTTTTCTAGTCTTTGCGCACACTGTACACTCATGGTACCCAGATATACATGCAGGAAACACACTCATACACATAAAAAGATAAAAGTTACTTTAAGGAAGCACTATTTATTTTTCTTTTGTCGCTTCTTTTAGTTTTGTATACAAGAAACCACTGCCTATCCCAAGGCCATATTTACTCCTGCTTCTGTGATTCATGAAGTTAATTTCTGAATATGGCATAAGGCAGGGATCCAATTTTATTCTTTTACATGTGAGCATCTACTTGTCCTGGCACTATGTACTGAAAAGACTAGTCTTTCTCTAGGAAATTATCATGCCACCCTTATAAAACATCGGGTGGTAAGCCAGAATGACTCCACGGGTTTAAGTGCTTGCCAAGCAAACTAGACAACCTGTGTTCAATTCCCAAAACTCATGTAAAGGTGCAAAAAAAAAAAAAATCAAGTCCCAAGCACCACACCTCCACCTGGCATGCCCACACACTCTGCCCATCCACACTAATAATAAAAGTAAACACAATTTTTAATCTCCTAGCAATCAAAGTACAGGCAAGATAGTGGGGTAAGGGTTAACTTGGTTCTAGTCCATCAATCTACATAATTTTCTTTATACTGTACCACACCACCTTCATTACTGTGGCTTTGTATAATTGTTAAAATTGGAAAAGTGAGTCATCCAACCTTGACCTTGTTCCTTTAAGATTTTTGGTCTGAGAGTGCACTTCTATGTAAATTTTGGTAAGTTTATCATTTTTTGGGAAGAAATAAATGTAAAAGAAAAATGTACCCTGAATTATAAAGGCAATTACAAGGACACTATAAATCAGTTT